ATTTACACAGTTAATAGTTTTTCTTTTGCAAAATCATGCTTTCACCTGCAAAATATTGCTGATCATGTGTCATCTTCAGCGTTGTCATTTGCTTCCATGCTTTCCCAGCTTTACAAATTTTCCACCTGCCCATCTTCTTGAAACTCTACCTTCATTGCTCCCATTTGCTCTCACCACCTAAGTCCTGTTAGTTTACTTAGAACCACAGTTAGAGAACAGCTCTAAGTGTTAGGGTCTGGGAAGGTCAGTGTCATACAGACTTAAGCAAACAGATCAGGCTAATTTCTAGACTGCTGTGATTAACCCTCACCAAAAATACATTGATTGCTTAAATTAATTTTTTTTATAAAGGCTTCACTTCATTGCTTATTAAAGTCTGACTATGGCACATTTATCTACCTTCAAAATAAATAAACACCTTTATTATTATTATCCTCGTTGTGATCATAAATATCCAAGTCAGCACCATGCATCATTAAACTCCCTCTTTTCCTTAAATGTAGAGAAGCTGAAACAACTTAGATGCTAAATCAGTTATAAGTGTTCACAAGAAGAGAGAAAAGTAGAAATACAGTGAAAAGTATGTGCCTACCCAGGAACTTTGTATCACACAAAAGGCTGTATTTTCACATTTGAAATTGAAATTTTTAACAGCATAAAACAATATATTACTGACAAACCTAATTAAATTATACACGTTTTCTTTGTATAGACAAAGAAATTTAACCACAAGATCAAAAGAAGAGGGGGAAAAGAACCAATCAAACTATTATAGTGGCCAACTCATGCTGATTCTTAGAAAATACACTTTTAAGCATAGTGAATTAAGTGGGAAAAACATGAAGCTATATTGTGACTAAAATCAAATTTAAAATATTTACAAGCCACAACTATACTAATAGCCTTCTGATGCTCATAATGCCCTAGGAATGCAGAGTCTGTCCACCACAGACAGGGACCTGCTCCCTATTAAATGCAACCCCTGTAAGGGAATGAATTCTGCCTTGATTTTAATTTGCTGGCAATTGCATATTCAGGAATCCTCTACTCAGCTTCCCAAGAAACTGACAATGCACACATTGTTTATTGGACTTAATTTCACTATCGTCTAACCTATCAAGCAGCTGCCAAGATAGCAATGCCCAAATTACAGAGAGTAGAAGGTGAGTGTTTCTGAGTTATCGCAAGCATCAGCTGAGGCTCTAGTTACAGGATCTGTTCTATCTTGCTGATACAGTACAAAGCTTCAGTATACAATATCTCCAGTACAGTCTGTGGGAGGGATGAGCAGAAGCATTCTCCCAGGTAGGGCATAGCCTTCTGTCTACCTAAGGCTTGCATGAAGTGCTCTGTAAGTGCTTTTTTTTTGAGTGGTTATATCTGCATCTTTTAAAATCAAACTCAGTAGGTCTCTGGAATTCAGTATAACATTAACCTTTTATGAGAATTAGAAGAACTAGGGGGGTTGTCTATCTTAGTAGTGACTAGATTGTTGCAATCAAATCTATTCTGAAACTCCACAGTGTGAAAATACTACTTACACTTCAAGCAAGACAATGAAGGAGACAACAAATGACAATGACATTTACCACCATGTTCATGTTTACTGATAGGTTTAATACTACAATGAGAGTCTATCTCTGGTCTCTTTTTTATTTAGTGGAATTGAGAATCTTGGTGAAATCAAGACTTCAGATTTGGTCTTGAGCTTCATTTTTTGTTTCATCTGTTTCTCTCTGTGTTAGTCAACGTTTCGTTGCTGTAAAGAAATTCCTAACATAGGCAACTTAGGAAGAGAAAACTTATTTAGCTTGTAACTTTGTACACTGAAGGCCAAATGTCATAGCTCAGGCTTGTCAAGGGCTGCCCTTTGGCTGCATTGCCATATGGTGAAGACAGCAGGCAGAGGGTACAAGAGCAATCAAGTGATCACATCTTCACTTATGAGCATGGAGGATGAGATGAGCCAAGATTCCTCCTGTATTAATTATCTTCTCAAGGGAATTCAAAGAATTACATCAGGACTGCACACAGGACCACTTCCCTCTCTTTTTTTCAGTCTTCTAATGTTGTTATAAATTTTCCTTATTCTTGAGAACTACCCCCATTTCTCCCTCTAACTCCCTCTGTGTTGTTCCCCCAGTGTTGACAACCCACTAAGTCCAACTACTGATGCCTTTGTGTGCAAGGATATGGAGCCATCCACTAGAGCAGGGGAACATACCAATGTAGATCCCACTTCTTAGAGTCCCGTAGCACATCCCAATACCACCACCCTAGACACCAAACTATGGTCACCTGAACCTTCATGAAATACAAAATTGACTCAGAGCCAACCATAATAGTTGCCTTATTTAACTTTTTATTTATGGATGTATCCGGTGTTTCATTATTGCATTCATGGCCATAAGACTCCAGCCTTTCACACATTTGGTTTTATGTTATTTTTAAATTATTCCATAACATCTGATTTGGTTTTATCCCTATAAGCAATTCTCTAATAAAATAATGTGTGGTTTCATTCCTCATCTTCTTGCTTTGAGTAAGCATATTTCCCATTTGTCCAAAATTTATCTCTGAGAAAAATCAAAATAGAAAGTCTACCTTACTCAAAGAAAATAATATGATGGGAGTGTGTTGTCATGGGCAGCATGATACTTGCTTTTCTTTCTTTGTGACCCTGAAGATGCAAGAAACAGAACTGCAGTCTTGTCAGGAACATTAACACTTTTGATGAAAGGAAAGGGTTACCTATTTAGTATGTTGACTGTTAAACAATTGTTAACAATAAATGAAGAAACAAAATAAAGTTTTGCAGTTATGTAATACAAGAAGACCTTATCAAAACCGTTGCTATGATGGAATATCATTGCATGGTCACATTTACCAACTTCATCTTCAATTAGGTCAAAGATTATTATTATTTTGTATGACAATTAACTTTAATAAACCTTTACTAAGATAAAACTATAATATACATTTATATGTTATTTTTTAAGGAACTTGCCATTGTAAGCTATACCTTAGACACTATTTCATTGTGTGTAAAAATCATCCTTGGAGAATATTAAAGATTACTCATCATATAATTAATGTATGTTGATTCATTCCCTTTCATTTGGCTTTCCAAGGGAAGAATGTATCACAGGGCTCTGTGAGTCCACCATGACACCCTGTACTCTGCTACACATCACCTTCCCTAAGTCTGCTTCAGCAGAGAGCTGCCTGAATCCTGATGCTTATTTACTCCTTGTTAAATATTGATTTTGAAGCTAACATAAAATCTAATGGGCTTTGTTGTAATATGTGTATGTGTCTTTATTTTTTGTTCTTTCATGATTATCTCTTTCTGTGATACTGGTTCATCTTCTCTAACCCTGTTCTTCCAACATTTTCTATTGCATTCTATGACATTACAACTTAACTGTGTGTCCAAGCTAGAAATCATAAAATTATTTTAATTCCTCTTCCTCCATATTTGGAACATTTCTAGCATGGGATGTCCACTCAGCCTTAGAATCAACCATCTTCATGTGTCATCTTCATCACTGAGTAGTTAATGGTCAGGTGACTATTAATACGTGACTATTAATAATAAGAAATAAGTGACTATTAATTGGAGGTTGAGTACCTGTAATTGCAACACTTGAGTACTTGGAAGTCTAAGATGAAAAGATTAAGGGTTTGAGGCCAACATGGGCTATACAGTAAGTTCTTGGCCCACCTAGGCTAAAGTAAGCAAAAGTGAGATGCTGACTAAATATGTTAGAGACTGAGTAAATGTGTATTCCCTATCTCATGCCTGTTATCCCCACATTCAGAAGGCTGAGGAAAGAGGACAGTGTGTTGAAGGCCAACTTGAACTGCATAGCATGTTTCAAACAAACCTATGATGAATAGCAAAACTTTATCTTAAAAGAGAAAACCCCAAAAAGAAATGAAGGAACATGTCTTTGTTTCCTCCTCTTTCACACTGATGCCTAAGTTAGCAATATAAAATCATTTTCCTATAGAATATTAGGTAATCCCCTATGTTCTCCAGGGTAAAGATACCATTCAGAGCATCTATTACACAAAGGCATCAACATGTGTCCATATACTTATGTAAGAAAGATGGAATCCTTTACCTTCAAGGATATCTAATAAGGAAAAAAAAATGGTCTACCACAACAGTGTAACAAATGCTATACTGTCATTAAAATATGTAATGGAGTAGTGATAACACAGTGTGCAAAAGGCAGAATGACCAATTACATAGTGACACTGAATAGGTATTTTTTGAATAGGTATTGTAGAATAGATACAGTTTTTCCAGGTAAACAAATGAGAGAAAACTTCTGAGCCCAAGAAAATATGTGCAAGCTTTGATCCCTGAGTAAGAAATATTTCTATAGAAACCTTAAGTTACTGAACATTCACAACAGACATATGAAAGTATTATTCTCACACTTAGCACAGACTTATTTCTCAATAAACATTTTTGGGCAAATGATTATGTTTCTCATTTACATCTAAAGTGTTGTGACGTTGGAGAGTATGGAAATAGTTGTGAAATGATATAATAATAATATAAAATAACTTACATAGGCATATTCAAGTGATTCTGATTAGAAGTAGAAATCTCAGAAGTTCTCATACCCTCATGTAAACATGGTAACCATGGTAGTATCTCATTGAATAGTAGAAGTTTGTCTTTAAGAAGGGAAATCCC